GGAGGGGCTGCAGGTCCGTCTCACCCCCTGTCCCCTTCTCCGCCCTCTCTCACTGTGCCCCCTTCTTTCATTCTGTTCTGCCAGAGGGAAATAACTAGAGTTGGTAGTTCTATCTCCAAGTATTTAGAACTTCCGCAGGGAGCAACTCCTACTCCACTGAAGACCTTACCTCGAGCTCGTTTACTTACTAGTGCTGATGCTCTAGCTCAAATAGAGAGAAAGAACTAAAAAAGAAGTTGGCACTTGAGCAAAAGGACGTAAGAAGACTGAAATGGAGAGAAGAATGACAGAAAGCGGAACAAAACGAAAAGCTGAGGAGCGACAGAAAAAAGCAGAGGAAAGAGCAAAGAAAGCAAAAGAGGCAGCAGACATGAAAACCCGACGCAGAAGAGAAACCGAAGAGACAACACAGGGGTTCAGGGGTCAGATAGTGCAGGCGAAGCTGGTGAGAGTGGACCTCCAAGGAAAAAGCTCCGTAAGCAAGTACGAACTGTCAGTGAAATCGATACTAACGTGTACTGCGTGTGCTATACTCGGAAGACGTAACCAACGGCAGTGGATGTGCATGTGGCCGTTGGCTACACAAGGAGTGTGCTGAAGACTGTGTTGTAGATGAAAATGGCAAAGAAAGATTTTGTCTGTAATGTCTCTCTCATTGTTTTGTTGCAGTTGTGTATTCCTCACCATGTGTTAATCATCAGCATGTTTGTGCGCATTTTTTGCAAGGTTGAGAAAATATTTTTCCGGTAAAACATATACCGCTGTGTAGCGCTTTTTGCATTCTATAATATTGTGGTGTGCGTGAAATAGGAACTGTTAGCCCGTAGAAGTCGGGAGGGGACGAAGTTCAGTGGTTGACGATAATTGAATGCAGAAATTGTATGCGGAGCCATGTTTGGTACTGGGTAGTGATAATTGATATTTTAAACACCTCGCGTGTAAAGCTTGCTTGCGCTATAGCTGCGTTTGGAATTTCCTGCCAATTTTTATATACGAATGGCTAGCATTATAAAATTGAACATACTTGCATGTGAACGGTGGAACTCCTGTGCAGTTGTACCAGCGCGACGTTACGTCAACCAACCGTCCTTAGTCATAATGGCACTTTACGCTATGTGTGGAATGCACTGCTGATCAACAGAACAGAATGCTGCTGTATAATAAATCTTATGGCAATGAATTTGGCAATAAAGTTTGCTCAAAATTGCTTTTACAACGATACTGACACTGTTTCATGCAGACAGCAATGTTATCAGTTACACAAAAGAGTATTGCGATAATACTTAGTCCTAATATCAGTGTTGTTCCTCAATTAGTTTCACTTTTATATGGGGTTTTGACTGTAATGAGATCTCCTACGGAGATGCCCATCAGACACCGAATTGTATAGAGCAAGACCGGTACCCCTGTCTTTTTCTGTGGAAAAATTTACAAACATTAAGTTCAGGCACGTAATGCCTAGAATAATGAAAAGCACTAAATTGCAAACCCTCGGCGCACGGTGCATGCACCATACCGCTAATGGTGGGCTGGGCTATCAATATGCATTTTTCCAGCTAGTATATAGCTCGCGCAGAGTCTGGCACGGGCTAGCTACAGTAGTAGATAGCATGCGAGAGTCGATACATTCCCTTCGTTGTGACTTATTGTGCCTTCAAGAAACACAGAGCGCGCGGACCCGTACTGTACCAAGTACCATAACCCTCGCTGCGCATGCGCGCCGAGGGTTAATTAGGTAGACAACTGTTTCTCTGTTCAGAAAAGCATATTTTTACCAGCAGTATTTGTGGTTCTTAACTAATGCAGTGCCACTATGCCCGCTGGTGTCCTGGACATGTCTGAACTTTGCTTGTAGGTACATAGCATATAAGCAGTCTCTTGCTCGACAAACGTAATTGCAAAGATTTTTACATACTGTTTCAGCTGATGGCTCTACACCTAGCTAGTGAGAAACGAAAGCTATTATTGCAAGAAACTGAAAAAGACGTCTAGAACTTGTCCGCACAGAGTTTAGAAGAAAGCAATCTCAATGAGTGCACTATACGATTGTATACAGAAAACTTTACCAAAGGAAGACTAGTCATACTGCCCAATTATATGCCCTCCTGAAGGAATGCAATTAGAATAATAATTGCATTCGGGCGTATAATAGCAAGCCACCCGCAACCGGCCTGGTATAACTGGTTTGTGGCTGGTTAGAGTGAGGTTGCATAAAAGCGTTTTGGAGGGTTCACTTTTGAACTCGTGTGCATCATGGTGGACTGAAGCGTTTCTGCAAGCTGTTGTGGCTTGGGGGAGAGACATACTCAATGCGTATGATTTTAGCGCGAGGAACTATTGCTTCCAGGGCTATTGCTGCCCAGGCTAGAGAGGAGCTGTGCGGACCGTGGAGATATTTTCCCAGCACCGCTTTTAGTGTAGCCCATGGTTGGTTGTGGCAGCCAGGCTTGAACAACCAAGAACTCGCTAAACTCGAGCATACGCGAGTTTAGCGTTCCCCTGGAATTTTGACTGTAGTAGCAGTGGAAGCATTGACTCCGCTTAAAGCTCAGTGTGTGACTCGCCCGCTGCGCTTCATGTTCTGGGCCGCTGTAATGTTCAGAACTTCAAAACCACAGAGTTGCCAAAGGCAATAAGCCTTGTTGTAGCTAAGAGACAGTACAGACAGTACTCAACCCCACAGAACACAATGGGACAACCTACTGCCGGGAACACGCAAAAGGCGATAAGCTTCCCGTATAGCCACCGCGGAGGGGACCCGTACCACCTTCGCTACCAGAGGAAATAGCTGGAGCAAACCCCACCGGAGCCGACGTCATTCCCAAGCGACCAAAGGAGATGGAAAGATGGGATGTTCCCGCAAAGTCTCGACCGCTTTCTTTCGATTGGGAACGCTGCTTCTGCATGACTTCTATATTAATGGCTTGGGTTAACTGGATGCAATTCGGCTACATACCGTTGCATCAGAGATTGATAGTATTTCACACTACCTTCAACTACTTCCACTCCATTCCGATTAAAATCACTCTCTGTATCTAAAATCTCCTCATTTAGTGAGTAGAATGCCATAATAGCGGGTCCTCTATCCCCTTCATGTGTTAAAAATACCTAGAATATTAATAGTTTCGTAAAAATCTTTCAAAAACTCAGGTTTTAATCATACCTGGCATTCCCTGTTTTCATCACTGCTACTCGAAGTGCATCTGACACTGGGCAGCTGACCTCCAGACACGGCAGCATCATTTGTCTGATTAGACTCTGATTGGGCTATTAAAACACTATAAACAACAACGGAAAAACCAGAACAAAACATTCTTACCAAACTCAGAACAAAAACCATTCTCTTTGTCTTCCTGAGAAACCATGGTGTTACTCCTGTCTTCAACACCCTCTGTTATTGAGCTTGGGCGACCATCAAGATCAGCACATTTTAAAAGTTCATCCTTACTACTACCAGCCATGTTACTACGTCTGTTAGACTGGAGGTTGTTGAACAAGTTGTAGGTAAACAAATGTAAGAATGTCACGTACCTCTCGCCGGCGCCTTTTCACCCGTTGCACAAGTACAAGTAAAACTGCTAACTCAATCAGTATAATACCACCACTCACACCAAGTACTGTAATGTATGGGCGGCTGTTTTCTGAAATTATGAAGATTACAGGGAATCTTGGTTACAGACCCAATGAGACAAACCTGCAGAAGATTCGGAATCACCACATTTTTGCCGTTTTGTAACGATAGGCCTTTCATCAAGATCAGTGTTATTCTTCCCATAAACAGCAAACGTGTAGTTGCATAAAACAGCAGGCACAGTCAGTCTCACAGGAAAACTTGTAGTGTCCTGATGATACTCTACAATTCCAATGGTCTCATTGCCATATTGTCGATATACAAGGATGCATGAAGAATTTTTACTATCCTTTTGAAAGTCACATGTGGTTATGACAACTGATCCAATTAAGCGTAAACTTGCATTTGTTAAAATATACCCTTGTGTTTCAGGGAATGAACCTGCAGTGGAATTAAGGAGTTAGAGAAAATCATGAACACGATCTTACCATCTTCAAGAGCTACAGTCACAGTGTTGTTAGTTATAATGGCTGGGCTCTCATTAGGGTATCCATCGTGCTCCACATCATGAATAAATGTCCGGTAGGTTGAAGGTTGTATATATCTGATGATACCAGAAACAATAACACTATTTCCAATTCGTGGTAATATTCTGAAAACATCAGGAGATCCATCCTCAGGCTGCAACACTATAAAACATCCTTTGGCTTTTGTATTGGTAATGAAATGTCCTGTCATACTGATTCCATTACTTCTGTCACTGACACTAGTAGTGGCACGCTGGATATCATATGTAGCTGCATAAAAAAACAACTCGAACATTCCTCTAGAGACAAAAAAGGAATTTTACTGAAAGAAATGGGGAAGGTAGCATTTCCTCCGGCAGAATTCAACACTGAAATGCGAAATGTATACTTCCTGTTTGCACATAGGTCGAAGCTGGATAGTGATGAAGACTGGTGAATGATACATCTATCATGCACTTCAGGAGAGACACTGATTTCACATCGACTGGAATTACATCCCTATTAAGTGGAAATGCCTTAATAAAAGTATTGAGCATATAGTCATACTAACCAGTGAGTCAAAATCAACCCTGCATTCTTTACTAGAGAGAGCTTTAATACCGGAGGGTCGTACAGTATCTGAAACTGAAATGAAAGAGCTACATGTGTAACTGGAATTCACTCAATCACGTAAGAAACTTGGCAAATGGGTAAAAGCACGTCTGCTTGTAATTTACAGTTAGGAATATATCCAGATGCATTGCCACTGATCTCTCCTTGGCCAGCTCCGTTTAGAGGGATGACAGATAGGTTGTACACATGACATGGACTGATGTAGTCAGGAGAGAAAGTGTAGTGTGTCTCTGTGATATTGATGCAGTCAGTACAGAGGATGGGTGTTGGGTTGTTCTCATCTGTCACATTATAAATGAGGACAGAGTACCAGATGTCAGGATGAGAACCAGTCACATCCAGAGAAAATGGTGCAGTCCAGGAGATTGTAACTGAACTGATATTGTTGATAACGCTTAGGTCTCTTACTGCAGACAGGGGACCTATTTAAATCATGAAATACAGTGCTGGTCATAAAAACACCCAAAGAATGTACATCCGTTGGAGACTTCTGCAAAATGCCAACACATTAATGTATGTTCGCACGGGTGCCAAACAATGCTGTGGACACATTAATAAAGCCGGGAGCAGCGCAGTAATGAGGAGAAACTATGCACTTTGAGTGAAGGCTTGAGTTTACAACTATGCACGCTACAGAAAATGCTCACTTCTGTGTAGTGTCGTACGCATCGAGTACCCGGATAAGACAAAACAAAGTAGCTATAGAGATAACAAACTTGGATGGAAACAAACTCTGATGGAGGGTTTGCTTATTAAGCAAGGCAAAACACCTGCATGCACTCACATTTTCCGTCAGTGTGCTAAATGTTAACACTTAGAACGCTACAAACACACATTTTATGTGTCCGTGCGCAAGTGCCGCTTAACACCACAGACACATTTATGTGTCATATATATCCCTCTGAAATTTACCTCACACTCGCGCTGAAGCCAGGAAGAGTGCAGTTTTTCTAGCTAGGGAGCAAGCCTTATAGTTGCACTTACTCGAGGCAAGGTCCGAAGTTCACTTGCTACTATGTGTACTACTCACATTGCCCACTCTTGCATAGTACCATAGACCACGTGCACTAATAGACGTATCCGTTTGCATCAAGTAACCCCCAAATAAGGAAAGCTAGAAGTTCTTGTTAGTAACATATTTGGATGGTAGAAGAGTCTCAGTAATAAAGACCAGTGCTAACTTTGACGGTAATCAAGTATGCTCTGTATGGCAAAAACACCCGCATGTACGCAGCAGTGCCATCAACTTATTGCATCTTAAGTTTAAAATCTTTATACAAATGAAAAGCACTAAAGTGCAAACCCTCGGCGAACTGCGCATGCGCGGTACCGCTAATTGATGGGCTGGGGCTATTTGTAGTATATATGCGTTTACTCGTGTCTCCCGCTAGTAGCTCGCGGAGAGTCGGACACGGGCTAGCTATAGTAGTAGATAGCATGCGGGAGTCGATACACGCCCTTTGTTGTGACTTCTTGTGCCTCCAAGATACACAGAGCAAGCGGACCAGGTCGAGGTAAGCTTGTGGTAATTAGCTTATTGGCTTGTTCACTTGCTTTTCACGCCAGAACTTTAGAACGCAGTATTTTTTTACGAAAATCGCCTTTTTAAAAATCAACCCAGTGTAGCACTGAACCCGATCATATCGCTATTTACCTGATTTCGTGCGCGCGGTGGCAGAAAACGTGGTAACAGACAGACTGACAGACTGACACACTTACGGAACAACTACCGTAACCCTCGCTGCGCATGCGCGCCGAGGGTTAATAATGTTACAGCACAAGTACTCTCGTGCTCAAGAATCTACTTTATCGATTTTCTGTTAAAAGTTTCTTTGTTTACATATAACCCTAGGTGCATGTGACAGACACCACGGAACGGAACTCAGATAAAAAAGGAGACAAACTCCAATGGAATGTCTACAACGCTCATACGTTCCCAAGGTTTTGGAAGTGCTTTTAAACAAAAAAATGTCTCATGTGGGTAATAAACCAGAACAGAATGGTTTAAAAATTTGTCCTTTGTAATCTGCCTTCACGGTAAGTTTACAGCACACATTAATGATATGGACTTCTATGTACCTTGAATTATCAACGTAGCATTCCCACTGAGTAATGCTGGGTGACTGAGTGCCACAACTAAACACTGAACTACAGTTCCATTGTACTTGGCTTTGGCTGGGATGGTTAAGTTTTCCACTCTACTTCCCTGAGCAGTATTCAATGTCAAAACTACCAGGTCATTATGAATTTCAGGGGGAAGATTTTCTAGGATTGTTCCATTGAGTCTCCAACCAGCCAAACCTCCATCTGTCTCACATGTAAACACTGCAGACTGCTTCAAGAACACAGTCGTGCTATTAGGGCCCTGCAATATTTCTGGAAAACACAAATGTAAATTGTCATTAGGAGCCTTAATTATATCTGGAGAACATAGATGTAAAACATTGAGGGTGCTAAGTTGCACAGTAGCACTTCTAGTAACAGACTTTCTACACAGCAGACACCTACTACTAAAAAGACAATCCCAATGCACAGATGTAGACCATCACTAAAACCTGTACATAGACACATCCATCAATGTCACTGTGGGTGTCTGTGTGGTAAGGCAGGCACCTCCATGAATATTTTATCCTAGCTCAGCCCAGTGCATGGTTAATGGCCCTAGTGCTACGGCTGATGTAACAACAAACAGCCACAGGTAAAACATATTATAAATGGTGTTTGCATCTAGGTCCTGCACCAATGACATCGTACATGGTCACCAAAACACATGTGGACCAATAAGGCCACTATGCTTGTTTTATATGAGAATTATGCCCTTATTGCACACAATGCACGTGAATAGGAAAGGAGAGATAAATGGTGAGCATAGGGATGGCAAGAAGACAAGAGAGGAATGACTGCTGTATGTGACACTGTGGCACATTAGATGAAAGCTACATACACACTGGCATGACTGGCTCATGCACATTTGCTGCCACACAAGCTCTGTATTGTAACTACTTGCATTCAGTAAAAAGGTATACACTAGAAAGAGAGAACAACTACGCCGTCACATACTGTACAACAACCAGTGTGAACTAAAACACCAGTATCAGCAGAGGCAATGATTCGGAGTTGCAGTAAAGCATACTAGAACGAATACAATGCATTTGGAGTGCAATTTTTATTGCATGAGAATAACACTTTAATCTATTTGGAAACATTACGGTATGTGCAGTGCCCAGTACTCGCTCCCATACATAAACAAGTAATAATATAGAACTAGTAGGGGCATTTTGGCAAGCGTGAGCGAGCACACAATGATTGTATCTGCATGAGCCATCCTAGCCTATTTACAACTTGCACCTTGAAACTACGAAGATTGGAAAGAGGTAAGTACAGCCTCGGTCAGTCACCGAAGAGCGCAGCGAATGCCGTCAAATGGATGAGAATTCTCTTGCTGGCTAGATCACGCATCGAGGATGATGTGGCGTGTAAACATTTTTAAGATAAAAAGAAGCCCCTAATCCTGACACATGCGCACTTACACGACATACGGGCATATAAATTAGAAATGCCAATGAAAAGCAAGTGCAAACCCTCTGCGCTAGGAATGGATGGATTGGATGTACGCATATGCATAAAGAATTGATGGAACGTGCGATGCCGTGCGGTCTAACCTAACCTGTCAACGGAGCCAGTTTCTCGTTTTAAACACAGACTAGCTGGATCATAGGGATTTTAGAGCAACGCGTGACTGGATACACTTCAACTGAGTGTGTTTATCCCTTCACGGTGCGCTAAAGAGACGAAACCCAGTTGAGGTAAACCAGTGCCGATTATGCATATTGGTCTTTTTTGCTTGTTTTCACGCATTCGTTTCAGGACAAATGCCGGCACTTTTAGTCCAGAAGCCATTTGTATTGCTCATGGGCCGCCTCATAGACTGTAGTGCCAGAACAGCTGGTGACAAACACACACACACATAGACAAGTACTGTAACCCTTGCTGCGCATGCGTGCTGAGAGTTAAAAATCTGCAATTCAGATGACTAGGCTTGCTTCGCTCGCCAACTACACTACCCACAAAGTTGCAGTAGCAAGGTTCTAGTTATTCCAGATGTCTATGCTAGATCACAACTCAATGTCTTTGTAACAAATTACGGCTTTTATGGTAGAGAATGTTGCGCAAGTTACAGCTATAGGACCAACTGCTCTAAAAAAGACCAATCACCATGCTACCATTATGCAATTGCACAAAATCAGGCGTGGTAGCACCCTAAAAGGCAGAGAACAATGATCGTAGTCTGCATGCACCTCTGCGATTCTTCTGCCTCGCTATCATGTGATAACGGGACAAGCTAAGCTAGGCTATGTTTGGTACAGTCAGCCACGCCAACCGTTTCTCATGAAAAAGGAGCATTCGCCTTAAGAGAGGGAAAGGGGACTTTTGTTTTCACCTATACAGTATGTAGTCTTGCGGGCCAGACACATTTTTCCTACCTACGTCCATGCGCATGTGCCAATTTAATGGGCGGGGTCACAAGAGGAAAATACATCTGGCGACTATGGCACACATTTCATTTCTCTCTGGAATGTGTGATATTTCGCTGGGATTATGTAATTTTACGCTGACCCGCAATTCTTGCGCGTAGTTCGGTGCATGTGCATGTGTATTTTTCATGTGTTTATGAAGCATAGCGTTTTCCCACTACCAGTCGGCAAGCTGACGAACACATCCTTACTGCCTCTACTTGCTATAGCCTGAGTTGGGAGTATCCTAGCACGGAGGCCCCTTGAGAAATAGCATTATCAAACTGCCTTGAAGTGGGCTCTGAAGACGAAGACACCGTACCACCATCATCTATTTGCCGTTTCCACACTCCGAACCACACTCTACTGCACATATTACAAGTAAATTAAAAATCCTGCGAATGTAAATAAAGAGGCATATAGGGATGGTATAAAAAGAAAGGGAGACAAGATAGGGATGGGATGGTTAATGGACATATTTTACACCCCCAACCCCATCACACAATCCCTATATTATTGTTGCCTGGTGTGCCACTCCATTTGTACTCTTGGTTACTCAGTAGCATGAGTTTTTCGTATTTTCAAGCTAGACTATTGTGCAATGTTGAATGTTTAATGCTTCACCTAGGCAACAATATAGGGATTGTGTGACGGGGTTTCGTTTTTGAGTTATTGGTGTTGAATCTGAAGAAGAAGCAGAAGAGAACAAAACTCCCTATCATAGCCCCATACATGTATGATGCTAGGTACCATGCCAATCCCTATATGTGACCGTACACGCGAAAACCAGGCATAAGTCGGCAAAATTGATTTTTAGTAAACAGCGTTGGAAGTATAAACAGCGGGTACCGCGCGATTCTGACTTTTTTCACGGAGAAGGACCTACATCTACCTAGAAGACAGCTATATACTTTAGAGCGTCGAAACTCGCTCGCCAGGGCCGTGGCGGCGCCTCGAAGTCGATCTCCACACGCGCGCGTGAACGGGCGCAATACACGGGAATTACGCGGAGATATTTACGGGCCGTCAAAAAACAACTGCCTATTAACGAGGAACTACGGTTACCAACGATGCTAAAAGCCTACCTGCTAGCTTCGTTGTGCCTGTCTTGTACGTTTCCACGGGAGATAGCCTCGTTTCACAACCGTGCGAGCGACTTTAGGGGGCGTGTCAACGCCCGACGTGTAACGGAGCGCGTATGCGGAAAAATTTCTCCACGTAGAAAAATTGCCGTTTCTCGGATCTCGAAGGTTTGACTCCAGGGTACAAAAGTAGCTATATTATCTCCAGAATGGAACGGGCTATCCGAACAAAATTTTGAACGAGCACGGCAAAAGGGTAGACAACGCGGTGAAATCTGGGGAGTAATTTTTACCGACTTATGCCTGTGTACGGTCACATATACTAAGTACTACCGTACTTAGTGATAGGGATTGGCATTGTACCTATCACTAAGTACGGTAGTACTTAGTATAACAAGTAAATTAAAAATCCTGCGAATTTAAAAAAATAGGCATATAGGGATGGTATAAAAAGAAAGGGAGACAAGATAGGGATTGGATACATGAAGCATGGTTAATGAACAGATTTTAGTACGCTAACACCCCCAACCCCATCACACCATCCCTATATTGTTGCCTGGTGTGCTACTCTTGTAGGGGCTAAAGGTTACTAAAAGCAAGCATTCTTTCACCGTGTCCTTGTTGTTTTTTAGTAACATTTATACTGCCACATTCCCTTTAATTAAACTCCACTTGGACTCTATAAGGGTGTTGGTTACTCAGTAGTGTATTGTAAGTTCTGAGTATTGTAATGGTGAATGTTTAATACTTCACCTAGGCAACAATATAGGGATTGTGTGATGGGGTTGGGGTGTCAGCGTACTCAAATCTGTTCATTAACCATGCTTCATGTATCCCATCCCTATCTTGTCTCCCTTTCTTTTATACCATCCCTATATGCCTCTTTTTTTAAATTCGCAGGATTTTTAATTTACTTGTCTCCACTCATTTTATATACTACTACGTATTATCTCTGTGGAAGGGGGCAAGCCCCTATAAAAATTAATAATAGAGAAAAAATGCCTGTTGTCGTCATGGAAATGATATGCATACCATTTCATCTGAAGAGTGAAGAAGTAATTTCCATGTGTGCTGCAGTTAGCAAGTTCAAGGAGTGAAAAAGTAATTTTAAAGAAAAGTGCCTGAGGCTATTTTGTGTTGTTGTGGTCGTCATGGAAACGACGTTACACACATGCGTACCAAGTTTCATCTCCATGCGTGGTACCGTTAGCGAATTTGAGGAGTGAAGAAGTAATTTGAATGTAAAGTGCCTGAGGCTATTTCTTGTTGTAGTCGTCATGGAAACGATGTAATACACATGCACACCAAGTTTCACCTCCATGTGTGCTACAGTTAGCAAGTTTGAGGAGTGAAGAAGTAATTTTTAAAGAAAAGTTCCTGAGGCTATTTGTTGTTGTGGTCGTCATGGAAACGACGTAATACACATGCGCAACAAGTTTCACCTCCATGCGTGCTACAGTTAGCGAGTTTGAGGAGTGAAGAAGTAATTTTAGCCTGAGGCTATTTGTTGTTCTGGTCGTCATGGAAACGATGTAATACACAGTGTGCACCAAGTTTCACCTCCATGCATGCTATAGTTAGCAAGTTTTAGGAGTGAAGAAGTAATTTAAAGAAAATTGCCTGAGGCCTTTTCGAACAATATGCGGTCGTCATGGAAACATGTAATCATCATGGAAATTTTTACAGTAAACAACATTGTTTACAAACAAAAAGGTATGATGAGTCCCCATGTGGTTATCGATATGTACATTCCTACAAAATTTCATGGCTTTATCTCTTTCG